TACTATGACTGTGGAATCCTTTGTCTTTTCAGTTCTGTTAAAGTCTGATTTATGTATTTTGGGGCTCTTTCATTGGGTATATAGATATTTATTGTTGTTTTGTCCTCTTGTTCAATTGATCCTTTAATCATTATGTAATGTCCTTCTTTGTCTCATATGTGGTTTTTATCTTAAAGTCAATTTTATCAGAAATTAATATTGTCACTGCTTTTTTATGGTTGCCATTTGCTTGATACATCTTTTTCCAACCTTTGCTTCTTAGCCTGTTTATGTCTTTGTCTCTGAAAGGTGTGTCTCTTGTAGACAGCATATTGATGGGTTATGTTTTCTTAATCCGGTCTGCAACTCTCCACCTCTTGAGTGGTATATTCAATCCATTGACATTCAGTGTAATTATCAATAAATATACATTTGTTGCTGTCATTTTGTTATGTGCTTTTTTTTAACATGATTTGAATGAAAATTTACAGAGCACATTCCTTTTCCATTCAACAGTTCATATACATTTTGTTTTGTGACATTGATTCTAATCCCTACAATGTAACAGCTCTCTTCCCTCTTCCTCCCAGTGATTACTTTTTCCCTGTGTCCTGCAAAATGGGCAAGGAGGCCACATGTTCTGACCTCCTAGAACCCCACAAGAGGAAGACAGAATCACCATCAATAGCCCAAGGCCTATTCCTGTGAGGCCAGACATGCTGCCTCCCTCCAGCCTTTTCTCCAACCATTCCTCCCAGAACACCCACCACCTCTCTCCTGGGTTTAATAATTCGCCGCAGTGGCCACACAGAACTCACAGATTATGGGGTTTATTAGGGAAGCACCAGGCTACAATTGAAGTTCAGGAAAAACGCTCAGTCTCTCTCCCAGCCCACCGTCTCTCAGCCAAGTCTCTCACGGTCTCTCCTGCAGTAGTGCTTGTCCCTCGGTGTCTTACTCAGCGATGCGTGTCTTTTGTGTCTCTTTCCCAGCAGCACATGTCTCTTTTAAGAGCACCTGTCTCTTTCAGAAGCATGTCTTTCTCAACCAGCAGTCAGAGAGAGTTCTGCCTCTAGGAGGCCTCTTTTTGAGCTTGGCAGAGTGGCCAAACCAACCAATCATAACAACAGAATTCTAAGCACCTGAGAGTGAGCCTCCCATAACATTGTATTGTGCCACATCCAGCAGAAATAACCCAGGTGGATAAAATTTACAATCAGGAGCTCCTCAGGTGCTCATTCCACCACTGAGTTTACAATGACTTATGGGTAGAAAAGCCATACTAAGTAATTTACTACGCTGCAGGCCGCCCCCTGGCTTTTCCAGCCATTATCCCTTTTATACTTCAAAAATTCACATCCCAAAAAATCCCCTTCACCATCAGTTTAAGAATAACCACACCCATGAAAGCATGTAAGTCAGCCACTTCATGCCTTTATCTCCCCCCATTTTAGAGAACCAATTTCTAATTTGCCCATCCCTATCAAACTAGTAGGAGCTCTGGTAGCATAGTGGCTAAAGCACTTGACTGCTAACTAGAAGGCTGGCGGTTCAAACCCCCCAGCCACTCCTCGGAAGGAAGGTTGGGC